CTGCTAACTGTTAATGTTGCTAACTCTGCTAGTGCTTCTAACTCTGTTAATGTTGCTAACTCTAATGTTGCTAACTCTGTTAATGTTGCTGATTCTGCTAATGTTGCTAACTCTGTTAATGTTGCTGATTCTGCTAATGTTGCTAACTCTGTTAATGTTGCTGATTCTGCTAATGTTGCTAACTCTGTTAATATTGCTAACTGTTAATGTTGCTAACTCTGCTAATGTCTGTCTCCCCTTGCGTAAAACTCAGCATTCGTTCGTATTTGTGTCTCCTCAGTTTCAGTTGTGATTTAAACTGTTCTGAACCTGACACTCTGCTAACACTTCCCTTAAAGACATCAATTTTGCAGCCAGAGCCGGTGTCCAAGGTGCACTTTAAACTGCAGGACAACAGGAATTATCCATATAGTTTTAAATGAACACATTTTAAATGTAACCTTTTTCAGCAGCGTTAGCAGTGCTAGCAGCATTAGCAGAATTAGCGTTTGCTTTTGTCCCCGGCTGCACAAACAGCAAAGACTGTGTTTGTTTCTGAATAACAATAATGTAAGTTTTAACATTTAAAATTCATTTTTTACATTAAGATTTAGAATTTACCTTTTAGACACAACATTTAACGTTTAGTAAAAATGAGCAACATGTAAGAACAGTGAACTAAATAATTAAACATCAGTGGACATGTAAAACCAGGACACTTGAAAAGGAGCTAAATAATGAAAATGTTTTAGTGACATTTTTTAACATTTTATTTAACACTTTGTGCCTCGTAGAAGAGATGATATATTTCTTTGATGTTCTTCTCTTCCTTCTGTTGCTTAAGAACAATTTTATTTCCACGCAGCTCTAAACAAAACCTCAACTGATGGAGAACGTTGGTTTAAATCCATTAAGCTACAGACAGACGAGAYTCTAATTACAATAAATTCACAGTGATAAATTAACTCCACCTCTTGATCCATTAAAAATAACTATTTTGACTTGATGCCACAGAAAACGTCCGGTTTATTTTATTCGACTCATTTCTGTCAAATGTTTTGGAAATCTGTCGAATCTAAACCAGTTAACTGATGTTAGTTTGTGATATTTTAAATTTTAGTTGAATTTAAACAGAAACCAGAGTTCTGAGTTGGTTAAACAATAAAAAAAATACAGCTTTTCTGTATTTTTAGACTTATTTTTAACTGAAAATGCTGCAGATTAGAACAAATAAATCGGCGGATCTTTGCGGGTGCCAGACAGGAAGTGGAAGGCTTGAAATAAARGAGGAGGACTGCACTCCTTCAGGTTTACGGTTGAATTTGTGTCAAAACAGCTAAAAAACAAACCCAAAGCTTCATTCTGACGCCGGGATAAGAGACCTGACGAGTCGAAGCGAGCGCCCGCGGGGCCGGACTGCGCCCGTCGCCCCGTCGGGCCGCGCGTTAAGAACACGGTGATGTTTAAGACGTTGGGCCTGAGGCGGCGGCGTGAGGCGCGACAGTGACGCGGTTAAAACTTTACAGAGCAGCTGGGGTCCCAGGGGTCCTCTAAAACCCCCCCTCTCCACGTCTGACAGCAGGAAGGAGCGTAGGAGGTCCAGTGGGTGGAGGAGGAGGAGGAGTCACTTCGGCACCAGGCCGCGGGATTGTGGGTAAAGAGGGGACGCTGGACTGGAGGGGCTGAAGGGAGACGTCGGGGTGCTGGACTTCTTTCCTGTTCTGGGCCGTCTGAGGGACAGAAAACAGGAGTTAAAGGAGGCGGGGCGGAGGAGGRGGGTTCTGGAAACCTTTTCTTACCCGGACTTTGGTTTCTTCAGGCTGCCGCCGGTGCCGGAGGGCGGAGCTGGTCCRGAGCTGCAGCGGAAGCCGGAGGCGTCCACCTGGATCTCGTCCTCGTCTCTGAGGGCGTCCTCCAGGGCTGCCGCCACCTTCGGGGCGATGACCGGCTCCTGGTACTCTTTGGTGGTCCGTCCCGGCAAGTCCATGTCCAGGATCAGGATGTTCTCGGCCTGAGGGGACGCAGCGGGAGCATCACAGAAAATATGTCGATAAAGCAAAAAATGCAAAGACCCACAAACCAGAGAGACCCGGGTCCTTCTGACATGGTTTCTATGGTGTGGTGTGAGGGCCAAAATMAAGACTATTGCTCAACCAGTGGTCGCTACATCCTTGTAGCAGGAGGCTGATGCCAGCTTATCAACTCTAGTTGCTAGCTTCTCCAACGCTAATGTCAGATTATCCATGCTAGCTGTTAGCCTCTCCAACGCTATCCATGCTAGTCGCTAGCCTTTCCAATGCTAACGTCAGCTTATCCATGCTAGTCGCTAGCCTTTCCAATGCTAATGTCAGATTTTCCATGCTAGTTGTTAGCCGCTCCAATGCTAATGCAGCTTATCCATGCTAGTTGCTAGCTTTTCCGATGCTAACACAATGAATAGTCTCCTTCTCATTTGTCAGCGGCCTCTCAGTTACCAGGGCCGGCCTATCATTAATCATTAATCAGATCAATAGCTGGTTTAGGAACAAATAAAGCCTCCTGCTACAAGAATGGAGCAACTGTTAGTTGCACAATAGTCTTAATTTTGGCCCTTATAGGTTTAGACTCATCGGTCTCTTTTGAACGTCTCCCTAAAGCTGGTCCCTGTCCCGACTCTGGTCTTACTGGACTTTAAAATTGAGACAAAAAAAAGACAAATATTCTGTTTGATTTGCGTTTTTCTCAGCCAGTTTTAAAGGCTCTCGTTCTCGAATAACAAAACTGTATTCTTGGTGGCGCACTTTATTTTGTTACTCACGTTGTGCCTGAAGAAAGATAAGATTCACAACTGGACTTTCAGAGCTGGACTTATTTATTTATGGCATGTAAGGTATTTTATTGTGAAGGGCTTTGTGACTTTTGTTTTTAAGTTTGTAGCAAATTGGAGAAAACGGTTGGGAGATATATAAAAAAAAATACCCATTAAAATGACGATTAATCCCCTGGACTCCTGATTTAAACCACTTTAACAAGAAAGACACACCATCTCTCAGTCTGTCTCATGTATGAACTTCAAACTATCAACTAGTTTTTAAATTATGATAATAAAACAGATAAAACCAGAGTTATAATAAATAATTTACAGCATTTTAAAAAATCCATATTTAAAGCATTGCAGCAAGAAAGAGATTCATGGAAAAAAAAACACTTCAATTCACCCTCTGGTCTTGCCTCTGACCCGCCAAACAAACAAAACCAACAACCTCCTTCTTAGTTGAGACCTGAAGTCATTTGACTTCGCTAAAAAAATCTAGAAGAAAATAAAAAGATGTGAAAAATGAATGTAGTTTGGTGGCGATGAAGAGCAGGAAAGAGCAATGAAGTTTATACTGAAGTGTGTTTTAAACCATACAGGGAAAAAGGGGTGTGGCCTACCTTGTATCTCATGTCGGGCCGCATCATCATGGCCACGTGAGCGTGGTGACTGAGGGGCCTCCTGTAGCCCACGGCTGAAAGAGGCCTGGACATCATCTGATGGTCGCTGCAGCAGAAAGGTTAGTTTTATGATTAAATACAGAAGAGAATAACTTCGGCGGGTTCAGTGATCAGCTTTTCTTTACACTTTTGTTTTAAACCGAGATGAAGCAGGATTAGAGTCTGATCCTGTTAACCTTTGGTTCAACTCTGGATTTTTAATTTAAATATCAAAGCTTTTTCATTCGTGAAACCTTCTTCCCTTTCTGGCTTTACAGAAAACAAGAACTTCTGTTTGAGATGAAACATAAGTCGTGTAACTGAGGTTTAAAACACTGTTTATTACATGTTTATTACACTTCAGACCCATCTGATAAGAATTTATTCTCCTACTTACTCCTCGATCCGAGTGATGGCCTTCAGCTTCCAGCACTCCTCCTCCTCGTCGAAGAAAGCTCTGTGGAGGATTTTGTTCTTCTCCTCTGACGGGATGAAGTTCTCGATGATCAGGTGCCTGAAAAAAGAAAACTCAGCTTTTATTGTGGAAAAAAAAACTGGAGCTTCAAGAAGGAAATGTTAAGAATTAGTGACGGACGTAAACAGATGTTTGTATCCTGTCGACATGAACAGAAATGTCAGAAGTTTAAGGTTCTTGATCTCTGTACTCAGAACTGGACAGAACATAGCATGTAGCATTTTTAGCAGCTAAACTTCATCAAAATAATTAAATAAAATTAAAATAACAAATACAAAAACTGGCTAAGTATATGGTAGAGAAAGTATTTGCTATTTGTTGTACTAACTTCAAACTGTATTTTTTAATACAAACCCAATTAAAGAAATGCTTTTATTCTGAAAGGGATGAACTGGAAGTATCATAAGTTAGAGCTATAACTGCTTTGGATTGGCAGATTTGACGCAGATGATCCCGCCCACCTTCAAATTAAACCAATAGAATCAAACTAACAAGAACTGAGTGACAGTCATCTTAGCAGTTAGCTTTTCCTTCCCTATTTATTTTATTTTTTTTTATCAGTTTAGCGTATTAGTGGTTAGTGAACCTAACCTTAACTGTGCCAAACAATGGTCCGGTCCAACAGGATCCCAAACACATTGGATCTGGTTTCATGTTGGATTTAGTGAGGACAACATTAAGCTTTTAAAACGACCTCAACTCGACTTCACTTAAAAAACTTTTGTGTCAAAACCCAACAAACTGAAATGAACTCTGTAAATTCAGTCMAACAGAAAACCTGGAGGTCTGGTTCCAACTGGCTAACATTTAACAGATAGATTTGAGTCTGTTTATAATCTGGATCCTGTGCAGAAAAACAGAAAACAAAATAAATTCAAAACAGATTTWAAAAACACTAAAGTTAGTTTTCTAATTAAAAATAGTTTCCAGCGAGTCGTTGAATGGTGGCTATAAACTCCTGATTGGTTTCTGGTTCCTACTTGAGTTTCAGTTCCCGGGTCAGCTCGTTCTGGGTCTGTTCGAAGTCCTGGCGCTCCTTMATGTGCGCCTCCTGGATGTCTTGTATTTCTGCTTTCACTGCCTGCAGCTTCGAAAACAGCTGGAAAAAAAGAAACACAGAGTTACTGTGACAGAAACAAAAGAGTCAAACCTTCAGAGCTGGAATCCAAACTTCACCTGGTTTATCTGCAGGACTGTTTATCTGCAGTGTTTATTCATGTATAAAGTTTTTTTAAATCATTTTACATGTTTTATTTTACTGTTGATGTTTCTGAAACCTTCACAGCTCCTATGTGAGAGTCTGTGTGCCTGAACYACCTGAGAAGATCTGTTGTTGGGGGAAATTAACTCCTGTAGGGTTTTCTGAGGCAGATAGGTCCCAGGTGACCAGTAAGACAAAGACAGATTCAGAATACCCATAAGGACAAGAGACAGGACCTGGGTCTCTGGGGCCCCACCCTGGAACCAGGCCTMGGGACAGGCTCATCTGCGAGTGACTTGGGCRGTGTCCAAATTCAGGGGCTGAATCCTGCAAAGGACTCAGTCTACCCAGTCCACAGAGCGAGGTCCATCTGCAGCCGCAGCCACTTCAAAACACGCCCCTCGTCTGCAACAAACCACTCCCACTTCAAACCACTCCCACTTCAAAACAAGCCCACTTCTAAACACGCCCCTCGTCTGCAACAAACCACTCCCACTTCAAACCACTCCCACTTCAAAACAAGCCCACTTCTAAACACGCCCCTCGTCTGCAACAAACCACTCCCACTTCAAAACACGCCCACTACAAAACACACCCCTTGTCTGCAACAAAACACACCCACTACAAAACACGCCCACTACAACACGCCCCTTGTCTGCAACAAAACAAGCCCACTACAAAACACGCCCCTTGTCTGCAACAAAACAAGCCCACTACAAAACACGCCCCTTGTCTGCAACAAAACAAGCCCACTACAAAACACGCCCACTACAAAATACGCCCCTTGTCTGCAACAAAACACGCCCACTACGAAACACGGCCACTACAAAACACGCCCATTACAAAACACGCCCCTTGTCTGCTACAAACCACACCCACTACAAAGCACACCCCTTTGTCTGTAACAAACCACGCCCACTACAAAATATGCCCCTTGTCTGCTACAAACCACGCCCACTAAAAACCATGCCCCTTGTCTGCTACGATATATAAACATTATATGTATATTATTATTTTTATATATACTCTTTTTTTTTTACCTTTTTCAGCTTCTTGGTTTTGATGTCGACCTCCTGCTGGAGCGAGCTGTACGTCTCCTTCAGCTCCAGAGTTTCTTCGTCGCGGCTCTCCATCTGCTGCTGCATCTCTCGCTCCCGACGTTTCTGACAACGAAAAACACAGAAACGTTCAAGAGTCCGATATTTATTACTGATCTAACGGATACTGAGCTAACGTTTTGTGTGGTAGTAGCTGAGAGTCGTTTCCAACAGATCCTCTGATAACTTGTAGATCTGGTTTTAAAACGTTCAGGTTGACGTCTGATATACGTTACAAGGAATGCTGCTTTTATCGTACTTTGCAGAAATCTGGTCTCTTATTTTGAAAGTTTTTTACCTGTTCGGCGATTTCATGCCTCTTCTGCTCCAGGATCCTCTGCTGCTCGTTGGTGTGATCCACGATGTTCTTCCCGCCGACGAGGAGCTTACTCTCCATGGCCTGGATGCAAGGACACAMCAGAACGGCGTCAGGAAGTCAGATTTAGGGTCAGTGAGGGGTTAAAAATCCTCACCCACCTTAACTTTAGCTGCTAGCATCTCTCCGGCCTCCTTCTCTCTCCTCAGATCTTCCAGTTTTCTCTCCTTCTCCTTCACCAGCCGAGCTTTGTCGTCGGCCACGAGACTGTGGTCCTCCATGATGGCCTTCCTCTCCCTCTCCAGCTTCTCCTGCTGCTCCCGCCAGTAGTCGCCGCCCTCTTCGTCGTCGTCCTCCGTCTCGCCGTCCTCCTCGTTGCTCCCGTCCCTCCTCCTCTGCCTCCTCCTCTTCTTCTTGCCCACGCGTTTCTCCAGCTGCTCCTTCAGCCGGGCGATTTGCTCCTGGAACTCGCGGAGCAGGGCGTCCTTCGGGTCCTCGTTGATGCGCGGCTTGTTCTTGATGTTCTTGGCCCTGTTGGCGTAGCGCAGCGTCGTCAGCGTCTCCTCCAGGTTGTAGGATGCCGGGCCGATGTTGGCCACCATCACGGTGCGGGCGTTGCCCCCCAGCGAGTCCTGCAGCAGACGGGTCAGCTTGGAGTCTCGATACGGGATGTGGCTGCTCCTGCCGTCCACCAGGGCCGAGATGACGTTRCCCAGAGCCGAGAGCGACAGGTTGATCTTCGTCGCCTCTTTCAGTCTCTCCCCCTGAGCGCCGGTCTTCGTCTGCCGTTCGCTTCCCGCCAGATCCACCAGGTTGAGCTTCCCGACCCGGATGTGGTTCTCGCCGTCCACGCCCAGCTCGCTGCACTCCACCGTGATGACGAAGATGGCGTGCGAGCGCGAACTGTGCTCGTTCATGTTGGTGGAGCCCACCGAGCGGTTCTGGTTGCCCACGTTCATGACGTGCTCGATCTCGCGGACGCTCTTGGTGACGAACGACGATAGGTCTTTGACGTACACCCCGGTGTCGGGCCGCTCCCGGAGCTCCAGGCGGCGCGCCTGGTCCTGGGAGAGCAGGTCCCGGATCTCCTCCTGGTAGATCTCCAGGTACGACGCTCGGACCAGGTACTGCTGGTTCTGGGAGCGCGAGATGTGCGTGAAGATGTGCTCGAAGGAGTTGGGGATGACTCCCCTGCGCTCCAGGTCGTTTTTGATCCCCTCCATGGTGTAGGTCTTCCCCGTTCCCGTCTGCCCGTAAGCGAAGATGGTCCCGTTGAAGCCGAGCAGAACCGACTCCACCAGGGGCCTGAAGGTTTCGTCGTACAGGTCAATCTGCTTGGAGTTCCAGTCGTAAACCGAATCGAAGGTGAAGACTTTAGGGAGCTCGCCGGCGTCTCGGGGGTTCCTGACGATGATCTGGCCCAATTTGACGTCGACAGAGACAACCCGGCCGAAGCCCGCAGACCGCTCCTTCTCGTTCATGGGGCGACACCGAACCACCACTTTGACGGACTCCGAGCTCTTGCTCTTCGACATGATGATGAGCAGAGAAGCCGACAGAACTCGCCGCTTGGCACCTCAGATCGTCCGGCTGCAGCTTCAGGAACAGATCGTTGAGAGAATCCTCCACATCTGAAACATCTGGATAAACACAAACAGGAAGTAACGTCAGTGACATTTTTACAACCAAACAGGAAGTAACGTCAGTGACATTTTTACAACCAAACAGGAAGTAACATCAGAGACATTTTTACAACCAAACAGGAAGTAACATTTTTATGACCAAACAGGAAGTAACATCAGTGACATTTTTACGACCATACAGGAAGTAACGTCTGTGACATTTTTACAACCAAACAGGAAGTAACGTCTGTGACATTTTTACAACCAAACAGGAAGTAACGTCTGTGACATTTTTACGACCATACAGGAAGTAACGTCAGTGACATTTTTACGACCATACAGGAAGTAACGTCAGTGACATTTTTACAACCAAACAGGAAGTAATGTCTGTGACATTTTTACAACCAAACAGGACGTGACATCTGTAATATTTTTACACCTGGTTGTTCGTAAACTGAGAAGCGTTTGTCATATTTTAGGTGATCTTTTAAAGCCATTCTTTAATCATTAGCTGCTGATTGTAGCTGATCATTTTCAGAAGAATATGTTCTTGTTTATGAAATCACTTAGCACAGACCTAATAAATTATTCAAACATTAAAAACAGGCGGTGGAGCCAATGTTGCAGCTAAA